GATAAAATCACAGCCATCTCGCAATAAATTTTTAGAGCATCTATATTTTTTATATAAAATATATTTTTCATCATGCAAGTCCAGTTAATAGATGCTGACTGGATGACTATAAGAATAAATGTAGAGTAGGCCTGTTGTTTTATGTTGAGGCCACTTACCAGTACCTCTTCCTCCCATGAAATTTCCTCTGCTGTCTGTCCCTTGTGACCAGTCTGTGGATGCTCAACAGGTTCAACTTTCACCTGGTCTTCAACACTCTTGCTGGGTGAATTAGTTGTTTTGATCTACATTACTGCTGCTGCTGGCAGTTAAACGGCAGCCAAAAAGCTCTGCGAGCTTTTTACATTTTGACGCATCATTTTCGAGAGACTTGGCTTTCTTTTCTTTTAACTTTTCCCATCCTCCTTTCTCCTTACGTTTTCGGCTTGCCATTATTCCCGCAGCTGCAACTTATGATTCGCTCTTTTTTGTTGGCTTTTACTGATGGATTTCACCGGACAAATGATCGTATTAGCGCCATCTGCTGTTAGCTGATTTCCTATTTAAGAGGAAAGGCTTATTGCCAGTCCGCCCCTGGTGCTCACTCTTCTGGGGGAGACATCGCCTCAGCAGCTCTGTTTCGATGTTGTGTTTGCCCAGTTGGATCTACACGTGGACCAGGAGGAGACGGACCTTCTCTAGCTCGCCGCCCCTACCCGCACCCCACTCCATTTTCCCAAGCCTCTGCAGATGATTCCCAGCTTTGGCCGTCCGCCCCAGATTCAGGAACGGCTGGGCCGTGGCCAAGAGACACTCCGTGTTATTGCCTTAAAATTGAGGAGGAGGGCTCGGATATCTGTGCTACACAATGTCTCTATTAGTCAGAGTTTGTAATCAAGCCTTTTATTAAACATAGGTGCTAATCAAAACTGTGTGCATCCTGTTTTTTTTTTACTGTATTGCTACATTTTAAATAAGACAAATGTAGACCAGGCAACATTTATACACCGGTTGATGACAGTAGAAGAGGAGTTAAGTCCATGGAGTTGCTGTTCTTGAATGAAACTTTACATTAGTCATGTAGTCTTCATCTCAACTCTCCATGGTTCCACCAGGGGTTGGCACCTCCCTTAGCTTATTTAATAAGATCAGTTCATGATGATCACTTGCCCAGAGGTGACTGCTGTAAGGTCAATCAAAGCTCTCTCCACCTGCTTTGTCTCTTTGGTAGCTATCAAGCAGAGGTTCTGAAGGACTGCTCCTTTGTCTTCTCCTGCTCGACTGCATGAGCAGTACTCCTTGAGCAGATTCCAGTTGGTGACCACACCTGTTTGTCTCACAAGTTGCTCTCAAGTCTCCCTGTAGTTAAGGAAGTTACTACCAACAGACACCAGGATATTCATGAAAAGGAAAAAGTCTTTCTCAAACTAGGGCAGCACTGAATTTTAAAAGCTCAATAAATCTGTGCTGAATTTCTAAATGCAAATAATTATGCACAGAAATATCTGTGATCATAGTTTTTGCTTGTACAAGCAAAATACAACGTGTGTTTTTGTTCTACCTGTCAAAATGGTTCAATTGCCCTACCTGAAATTGGCCTAAACCCCAAAAATTTAATCACTATCATCACTCAATAGTGCAGAGCAGCCCTTTGGAGCCAGAACTGGAGTCAGATGGAGTTTTAATTGTGTACATTTCTCCCCTAGAAGGTCTGTCCCTCTCAAACAGCCTACCTCCAATCTTCCTGTCCTGTATCGAAAGCCTCCCCTCCGATGGTGTCATCTGGGTTCAGGCGAATCTGGATCATGTAGCAGAGAACCACTGTGTCTTTCTGGGCCTTGTTTGCTCAGCCCATGTACCTACAATCAAAGGTGGAGACCAAGATAAAGTAGAAGATCAATAGGAAGTGGCCTGTTTCTACAACAATAATATACTGCACTGTACTAATAACATACTACTACTATATTACACTAATACTTTGCTTTATGGTATTTACAGTATAATATTTTTATATAAATATTTACTTTGTTTTCCAAGAGGGTGTCATTTTGGTAGCACACTACCTTTGCGATGTACCCATTATGGATTATGTAATACATTTTTTATAATTATATGAGGACAGGTCATGATAAGCGTTTCAGTCTGGTATGAAGTATAATAAAATGCTCTGACCATATGACAATTTAATATAATTTCCTCAATTTCTGGGAATTATCGAAAAAGGGAAGTCAGAAGTATTTAAAATGCCATAAAAATTTGTGGTGTACCAAGACTGCTATGACAATGTTGCATATCATTTCCCACAAGGAAAAAACAATTAATGAGAGCCCAGGCAAAAAGTCTTATATGTATGTGATGTGGTGACCTTGTGTTGCTATGGAAGACGACAGAACAGTAATGGTATTCCTCTTCAGGTCCAGTGTGTTCACTGTTACAGCACAGCAAGACAAACCAGCAGTACAGGCCACTGTAGAAGCTGGAGCCGGGCTCCTGGCATGTCCTGGATGAGTGGGTCTGGCATGTTTTAAAATACGCCAGGGCATCTTCCAGCTTCCTGATTGGTCTGAGGGTGTTAATGGACTTTCCCAAAATGCAGTAATTGTCTGATGATAAGATCAGTGTTAACTGCTGTTTTAGTTAGAATGTGAAGTACAAGAATGCAGAATAGGTCAAGAAAAAATCTTGCAAGGATAGTCACTAAAAATATTAATAATAGAAACATTTTTATAACCAAGAGTAACAATAAGAAGCAATGTACACAATCAAGTATGTAAGGTATAAGAGCCTGGCTTTCTTTGAATATTATTTTATGGCAGCTGATTATTATTATTTTATTCCTCCCTATCAAGTACAATAAGGATCCCCCAAGTATATTCACGTTATTTATGGGAAATCATATAGAGTCTACTCCCAAAGCATTTTCAACACTATATTCAGTAATCACTGAATTTAGCTGTTTTTATAATTTATATCATGGCTGATAGGTCATGGTTTATATCATGGTTAACAGACAGGAGGCAGCGGGTAATTATTAGAGGTACAATGTCACAGTGGCTCAATTTTAGGACCACTATTGTTCCTAATTTACATTAATGATATTGACACCAATACATACAGTAAATTGGTTAAATTTGCAGATGACACCAAGGTGGGTGGTGTAGCAGATACTGATCTAGCAGCACAGAGGCTACAATGGGATCTGGATTTAATTAGCGACTGGGCTGATACCTGGCAGATGAAATTTAACGTAGATAAATGTAAGATAATCCATGCAGGGAGCAGAAATATAAAGTACAGATACTTTATGGGTTCCACCGAAGTAAAGGTAGCTGAGATGAGAAAGACCTCGGTGTGTATATTGATGTTTCCATGTCCCACTCCCGCCAGTGTGGAGAAGCAATTAAAAAGGCCAATAGGATGTTGGGTTACATCTCTAGGTGTGTGGAGTTTAAGTCAAGGAAAATTATTCAATTCCTTGGTAAGATTGCACCCAGAATATTGGTCACCATATCTTAAAAAGGAAATTGCTGCCTTGGAAAGGGTGCAACGTAGGGCTTCAAGAATGATTCCTGGTCTTAGAGGAATGAGGAGAGGTTAGCTGAGCTGAATCTGTTCAGCCTCGAGCAAAGGAGACTAAAGAGGGACATGATCCAGGTATATAAGATTCTAACAGGTCTGGATGCTGTTCAGCCAAATGGCTTCTTCAGTATTATTTTAAATACAAGAACTCATCGCCATAGGTGGAAATTAGCGGGAGAACATTTTAAAATGAATTTGAGAAAACACTTATTTATACAGCCTGTAGTTAGAGTATGGAATAATCTTCCTGTTAGTGTAGTGCAAGCTAAGACCCTGGGTTCCTTTAAATCAGAGATAGATAAGAGGAGGAGGCCATTCGCCCCATCAAGCTCGTTTCGGGAGAACTTAACTAATAGCTCAGATGTTAAAATCTTATCTAGCTCAGATTTAAAGGAACCCAGGGTTTTAGCTGACACTACACTAACAGGAAGACTACAGCGCACAATTGTTCCTAATGAAAGCTGATATCTTCAGTTCACTGCACATAATGATATATTTTCACAACACTAGTTGAAAATGCCCAAGAATGTGGCCGATGAAGACATCCTTATAATGGATAGTAGCTACAGAAACAATAAAACCTCAGCTGTTTAGCAGAGAAGGCATCTGCCAGAACTTCCAGACAAAATCAAGCCAAAGGAAAATTCCAAGGCTATTTTTATTCTATGTATGCTTCCATGGCCGTGGGTGACAGATCGCATCCGCTGTTCTGTTGGGGACATAAAAATGGCTTGTGGAGGGCTGTCCTCGCTCAAGGCCCTGAAATGTTCTGCATGCACCTACAGTAGGCATGGCAAAATCCAGTATTTTGGCACAACGTGTATCTCATGTGCTTGCCACCTTGCCAGTGAAAGTTATTGTGTTTTAATTTGTCCAATTATTGTGAATCAATGAAAAAGAAAACCTTGGCCAACACCTGTTAACACAATGATTTAAGAGATGTCATAGGATATGGCGCAGTGCAAAAGCGAGGCAGATCACAGCTCAAATACATCACAGGTGTGAGCTCAGCTGCAATTATTTAGCCTAGTTGATGAGGGCCATTCACTGCACTCAAGTGTCAGCTTAACAGATAGAACAAAAAAAGTACCCATCAATTATTAAGAATATGCAAGAACGTGTGTTCTGGCTGTGGGGATAGCCCAGCTTGGTAATATGGGTGAACTGCTATTTGCCAGCATTGAAGGTTTCGTAATTGGCTATGTAAGTCTGCAATAAATGAGCAACTAATTCAATTCAGGTATATTTTTAAACATCTATACATGCCAATGACTTTAGGGCTTTGAGCAGAGGGCTTTTAGCATAACAGATCTTCAGAATAATCTGGAAATCACTGTGTCATGAAGGGTGGTGCGCGGGGCAGGGAGCCAGGAGCGAGAGTCCACAGGTCGGGGTAAACACGGGATTTATTGGAGGCAAGACACGTAGGAACAAAAGGGCGCTCGACATTAGAACTTTACATTGTCAATGACTGGACTACTCGCGACACGCAGACACAGACTTACATACGTAACAACAGTAATTAACATGACGAGGAACCACTGGGAACACGGGATTCCACACGAGGTAGAGAGGGGGGTGTGGCACACAGGAGGATCGAACGAGTGGGACATGACACACTGGGAGAGATCTAGATCCAATAAGCCGCAATTTCCACAGATGCCAAATATCCCTAATCTGTGGAGTTTTATGGTATTTACTCGGATATAACAGATAAACGGCAGATACAAGGAGGCAAAGAGAAAATGAAATCTCGAGGGCATTTATTTTGTTTGAATTAGATCTGTCACGATTCCTTGATTAATCTAATTTACTCTTTTTTTTTTAAGTATCAATTAAAATTTGCCTTCTCAATTACTAAGCAGTATGGCGGAAGACAGCATTGAAGATGAGGGTGCAAAAAAAGAGTGACAGCCTCAGTTGTGTGGAAACACTTCACATTAAAAGTGAAAGAAAATGCAGACATTCAGAAGACTTTAAGGTCTGAGGGACTCACCCTCTAATGGGAGGACAAATATCTTTTTGTGACTTCTTCTTTTAGCTTTTTTCCTCTTCACTCATTTTTGTTATATTTCTCACAAATGCACAAAATTTCCTGTGAGGGATTAAAAGCGCTTGGATGAGAATGATTATGATTGGCTTGGAGAATGTATGCAGGGCTCCTACAAATAAAAAGTTCCTGTGGGTGTGATGGCCAGGTGTCCCAATACTGTCCATATGCTGTATGCTAGACAATGCTGAAATGCAGAAAAGGAACCAGGGGAGTTTCTAGCTATTGAAAAGATCAGGGGCTAAGTCTAGTTTACCTGGGGCTTGACTTTTTTTTTTTTTTTGAAGGATGATAATTGGCATCGAGGCTAAAATACTTGGGGCTATAGGATTAAAATGCTCAAGGCTATAGCCCCAAGTGATCTGACCTAACGACGCCCTTGAAAGGAACCATCAGTAAAACTGCAAAGCTTGCTAAGTTTTGTTTCCTATGGCAGAGTAAATATGTTTCAGTGTAACCACTATTACAGCTGTCGTTGTCCTTGTGATGTTTAAACTGCATGTGCATAATGTATGATGTCAATGTTAAGATCGGTCAGCGTGCCGACCTAGTGTCGAGGGTGGCACCGTGGTGCAGTGGGTAGCCCTGTGGGTACACTTCGTGCATGTGGAGTTTGTATATTCACCCTGTGTGTGCTTGGGTTTATTGCTGATCCTCCAAAAACATACCACCTTAGTGAACTGCAGTACCTCAATCGACCACATGTGTGAGTGAGTGAGCCAGTGTGTTCACTGCCATAGGCTGGCATCCCATCCAGGAGTAGTTCCTGCATCATGCCAGTGTACAAATATTATATTTTATATATGTATGTATCACATTTTATATAACCAATTACTCAATTAATCTTCAAATTAATCAGCAGATTACTTGATTATTAATATAATTTCGATACTGTTTTCCAATCAAATACCTTAACGGACAGAACAAAGGTTCACTGTTTTCTTCAGTGGTGGAAATGCATGAAATGTCAAGCAATTAAACTGAAATGTGGTTTTTAGTTGATGTGGCCACTCCACACCTATAGCAGGCTTGTCTCTCTGCTTCTGCAGGTAAATTAGTGACGTCTTTTCTTTGGCCTCTCTATAGTTCTGCTGGTCAGGGGTGATGCTCTATAAGGCAGTTAGAGCTGTGCTCATGTCATTTTTAGCCAGCAAAAGATCAGTGTTGGCAATTGTGATTCACATCTCCTCAGGGGTCCTGGCAGGATTGCATCCTGAATTACCTTTGTGGTCTTGTGCTGTTGGACAAAAAATAATTTATGAGGTTAAGCATCCAGCAGTAGATCCTAGAATAATTTGACATTAATGCCGCACCATGGATTGTTCCTGACTATTTTAGTGAATTCTCTTCTATAGGAGCTCCATCTGTTAGATTTATGTTTGGGTCTTTGGGCCGCCCAGACGATTCACTTTTTTGTTCCCTCCCAGCTCCCAGCAAACATGAACCAAACAATCAAGAATGAACCAAACAATCAAGACCACTGAATCCTTGGTACTGTTGTTTTGTGACCTGGGAGGGAGCAAAAATGTGAACTATCTGCGGGTCCCGAACAACTGGGTTGAGAAACACTGGTCTAGACTTGACAATACCATCAAATACAGCCAAATCAACCTAATGAGATCCAAATATTATCTTGTTTAAAAAAATGTGTATCTTGCAGTAACACCTGTTTATACATCTGTATCAGCCAAGTTTTTTCGACACTAATATTGTGTTCCTCAAATATGCGATTGTCCAATCAAAGTGAAGATTAGATGACTGTCTACACACCTGCTCTCCATTCAAAAGCAGAGCTCTGTCCAACTCCAGGTACAGGGATGCATTGGCATCACTGGTCATTGAGTTCTACTTCCTCTTCAGGCCTTTTGTCAACCCTGGCCTTCTCATGATTGGTTTCAGGGTCTGTTTGCCCTCGTAGACACACCCTGTCCCCTTCAGAGCTCTGGTCTTGTTCAGGTGGTACTGATAAAGATAAAGATAAAGATGCTTTATTGTCATTGTACAAGTACAATGAGATTTCGCTTGGAGCACGCCAGCAGATACACAGTAAAAAATTACAATAAAATCCAAAGAATAAAATATGTACATACACACACACACACACATATATACACACATTGACAGTGAATAAGTTGCTGGTAAATTAGTGCAATATAATCATACTCATGAATGGTTATGAAGTGCAGTGCATGAGCAATTTCGCAGAGGTAGAATTCGAAGTTATAGAGCAGGTATACTGGGGCAGACACCTAACCTAATAAGGCAAATTAGTAAGAACATGAGAAACGTGTTTGATCTATAAATGCTAATTGTTTTAGAGATAACAGTGGAGTTCTTTAGAACTAAAGTTCATCCCTACCTGGATGTTGTGGCTGACGCCAGTCTCCAGGGACTTGAGGCATCTTTAGAAACCAGGGCTACTGTGCAGAGGTAAATTTGGGCCTGCAGCATGTGAAGCTCTACCACAGCTGGATCCTGCTCCAGGCATCGTGTTAGGAAGCTCTGGGCTGAGTGAAAGTCACCTTCATGCAGAAAAGGGCTTGAGAAGTGGAGGAGAAGTGATTCAGGAAAAAGTTTCCCAAATATTCTCTACAGGCACATATTACAGAGAAAGTTTTAGTATGTGATGCCAAGATGCGCCTGAATCACTTCATCATAATTACTCTTTATTAATATGACGAGTAAGTCATCCTTGACGTGAAATCAAGTGGTACTTACCAGATAGGTCTAAACACCTGTACAATCCAGCATTTAAACCATCTCAGCATCTTCTCAGATCTAGCCTGAGAGGAACTTCACCTTGGCCATGAGGAAGGCAGCTGCCATGAGACTGGGGGAAGCTCTTACTGAGGAATCTAAGACGGTAGCAGAGGGTATGAGGTACGTGGCTCGGACTGAACAGAAGCCACACGAAATCTGAATGATGAGACTGTGGGAGCTGTCAGGGATACTCCTGAACCTATCCCAGCATGAACTTGAAATCACCTTGGTCACATGATCATTATTTTGGTGAACAAGCAATGTATTTAAATCAGAATCAGTCCGAATCAGGTAGGTCTTTCCCTTAGCAGTGAGCCTGCAGATATGCCATCATATATTACAGATTTTTACAGCAAAGTGTTTGAACTTTAAACAGTATTAGATAAAAGATGGATGTTATAATAGACACATCACAGCAGACTGAATTATTGATGGTATTTACTTGAAACCGAGAAATCCCCTTTTATCATTGAATTTTCCATTGATACTGTCCATAAATAATACAACTTAGAAGTTTTATATAAGGTAGCAGAATCACTGTTTTACCTGGCAGAGGGACAAGTTCATCTTAACCACTTCTAAGAGGAAGGTGGGGTTGAATTTCTCAGAATACTCAACCCTATGGGCCGTGAAGTGCGGAGAAGTGAAGCTTCCTGGACTGTTTCAGAAGGTCAATCAAGGCTTGCAGAAAGGTGATCTCCTGGCCAATAGGAAGTGAGAGAGATTTTAAGGCTCACCTTAATATGTCTGACTTGACTTTTACTTATAGGACTTAAAAGACTAGGGGTAGAGACCTGCATTTATAGCAAGAGCGACACTGGATCTCTTTTTTTTGTTACCTTCCAGTTTGGTATTGATCTACATGTGGTGCCCCAGGTGGGGATAATGCAGCAGGATTAATCATGCCAATTAATTAAGCAATGAAACAAGTAGAGAGATAAAGCAAAACTTCGCAACCACTGTGGGTAAAATTGTCCACATCTGCAAGACAGAGGTGGGGCCTGACCACGCATGGGCTAATAGGATTCTGTATTCCAGTGAAAAACTCCAGCTGCTGCTCAGCTTGCACCAATAGCACATCCAACAGCTGGCACCAGATTATACCTACGGCATTATTCAAAGGGAGGGTCAAACTGCCTCTGGGGGGAGCTAGAGAGTTAACAAATAAAATCACCTCAGTTCAAGGAAGTCAAATCTGTCTGTAAGAATTTGACTGTTAAGAAAAACCAGATGCAATACATTACAATATTAATTCTGTATATACATGCTATTGCACACATTGTGCATAGATACATATACACACAAACTCTAGAAAGATAAAACTTTTACTGCTCAGGTTTTGACCATGCAAAGATGACAAAGTTGTGGTATTTAAGAAGATCCAAACACCACTTATTGTCATAGTATACCTGCAGGGCTTGGACTCTTGTCCAATCCACACTTAGGACTTTAAAGTACCAGTCGGGAGCCCCTTCATACCTTCTCTGCAGGACAAGCAGGTAAGTGGCTTCGGCTGCCGTTTGGGCCTGGCTGGAAGATTTGGCAAAGGCTCACTCTACAAACTGGCTCAGAATCTACAGCAGCTGAGGGTCATTCCCACACTGTAGCCAGCAAAAACATTGTGTGTGTGTGTTTTGTTAATGAGGTAAATATGCAGTACGGTTTGCAATCGGGCTACACTCTGACATATGGCTAGCTATTTCAAGATTAACAGAAGTCAGATTATTCATATCCCAGTTTCGGCTGCCAAGTTGATCAGGTCTGAGGGAACAAAAGTGTGACACTGAATGTCGTTCTAATTTTCAACATGAAAGGTGATGAATGCGCATCTTCTTGCATGCTCTGTTCACTGATAACAGGGTAACTGAAATAGAGAACTGCAAATGCTTTTTGAATATGTATCCTTTATAAATGTTGGTTTAATATAGCTAGGTTTGATTAGTTGCTAGGGTTTGAGTAAAATGAATAGGGATATTACTTTGTCAATTCTAAGTCTTTGATCACAAGTACCATAGGAGGACATTTTTGATGAAAATGATCAGATAAAGAAAACAGAAATTTTACAAGTGACTGTTTAAATTTATTTTATGTAGAATCTTGGTTTTAGGGTAACAATAGTGCTTAGCAGCTTGCTTATGCCCTTTGTATTATTTCTGTGGAGACTTGGTCTGCAAGGTTCAGTCAGCTCTGCTGCACTGAACAGTAGCTGAAGACGCTCTTAGACCTGTAAATTTAACAACAATTAACAGCAATATCTTCTCCCATTTTATGTACTTAGTGAGATCCTCAATATATTACCTGAGAGCACATGCTGAACAAAACTGCAGGATGATTCAATGAGCAGGTGCAACAATTAAAATATTGCATCTCCTTGTGTCGTTACCTTCATCACATGTCCATCCTCAGCCAATGGATCACCATCATCTGAAGAGCTTTAAGGTTGCTTCCATTCTGCTGCAAAATTAGGGGAAAAAATTTGGCAAAAAAACAATTTAGGCTTAAGTGGCTCTGTATCACAATATACAGTAAGTAACTGAGCAGAGCTTAGCTGACTGAGCTGCTATTTCTAGGGTTTGGTCCCAGTCTCTTTGGGTGAGAAAAAGTTTCATCTTGAAGACCAGAGCTGGAAGTAGGTCTGAATGATTGGTGATAATTTGGTTCAAGACATTCATTGCCCCAGAAAAGTTATGTTGGGTCATGAAATATATTGCCTCCAGAAAACCATAGTTTGGTCATGTTAGGTTTAGTAGTTTTAATGTTAATATATTTTCATGTAAATAATGTGATGCAATATAATTTTATTTGGAAGTTATTGGTAATTATTCATGAATTCACTTGGTTGGTGCATGATCCAGAACAGTGGCCACCCAGAATTGTCTCAGGGGAGGGGCACAGAGGCGGAGAGGGGCATGGGGGCAAGGCCAATAAAATGATAATTGGGGGGGGGGGACACCCAAAGGGCCAATTCAGAGTGACCTAGATGGTAAGGGTGGCATCAATCTAATAAACAATTAAATCAGATTTAAATGTTACAGATGAAATTAACAAAGTAACATTCCTATACATTTTACATTCCTATGTATTTCACTGCATAGAGGAGGAAACTAAATATAATAAAATTAGATGTTTCCTACTCTTGCACCTTGTTTTTTCTTTTCTGATTTGCACGGTTAATGAGGGTGATGGCTTATTTGAAAGCTCAAATCAAAGTCAACGCATGCGTATAATTATATATGTACTAGGCAGCATTTGGAATAATTATGCATTTTTACATAAACATCAGAAATGATTAGATTCTGCACAAAAAATAAGTACTCAAAATAAATTAGCAAAATTAACTTAATTTTTATTTTGGGAGATATGTGCATTTTTGCTCTCCATTCATCCATTCTCTATGAGTACGTGTTCCCTGCCGGGCTGCCGTGAGCCCGGAACCTATCCCAGGAAGCACGGGGCACCAGGCAGGGGTACACCCCGCATGGGGTTCCAGGCAGGGGTACGCCCCGCATGGGGTTCCAGGGCATCCATCACAGGGTGGAGCAGTTTTGCAATTTTTAGTTTTATTTCCCAGAATAACTGCATGAAATTCATCTTGTCAGGAATCTGAATTAAATTTGTGCCATCAGCAATACTTTTTAGAAAAATATCTGTGACTGACATAGGTGGTGTATTATTATAAGAAAGTCTTACATCCCATACAAAGCAGAAGAATATTCAGACAGGGGTGAATGTAGATGCCATCCTGCTGAATTTGTGCCATTGTCTGCATCCTAAAGCCAGACTTGAACAATGAGTCCTGGTAACAATTGAAGAGTAAATCTCCAAAACTCACACAGTCCATGGGATACATTTTTGAGAAGAGTTCTGTGCACTTTCTGCGAGTTTTGGAAACAAATTCTCCATTGGATTACATGAGGACTGAGAGAGTTTTGGTTCCTGATATGGTAACACGAGCCTGACTTTAGGTCACTGGGGGTCTCACATCAACAAGGACAAAAAATGGACTGAGTTTGTTCTTCAGGCGGAAATAATTTTATCTGGGTGTCAGCCCTAACCCTAACCCTAAAATAACACCTTCCCCATTGATCCCGAGGCTTCTTTGGAGCCCTGCAGCCTGTGGCCAAAGAAGTGGACCACTATGTGTCCCTTGGCGTCATCAAGGCAGCAACCCAGGCTTTTAGTATGAGGCCCTGTCAAGAAATGCACATGCCCTTTAACACATAATATTTCATTCCTTGATTCCTCTTAATTCTATATCCAAAGTCATAGCAAAATTTTATCATCCATCCATCCATCTTACAAGGATGTGAGCTGTGTGGGGGGCTACGGCAAAAACATGGTTGTATACAGGGGTGGAGCCACAGGGACACGGGCCACAGCTGAAAGCTGATTGGCCTCCAGAGTGCTCTTCCCCTGTCACTCACCGATTCAAAACATACCATTGGCTAATGATAAGACTAGCCCCTTTTATTGAAATCCTAGAATAGCCCCTGGACACAAGCAGGGGAACACCCTGGATGTGATGGCAGGCTCAGAGCAAACACATTCAGACAAACAATATGGGCAATTAAGAGACGCCACCTAGAGGCAAGGGTAGTAGCTGATCTCCAACCCAACATCTCTATTTATCTGTTTATTGGTTTATTTATCCATCTGTCCAATACCTACTTTTCCACACCCACTTAACCTTCGCAGGGTCACAGGGGGCTATCCCAGGAGCAACCAGTGCAAGGAAGGGAATAACCCAGGATGGGGCCCCAACATATTCACTAATTTACTGCTCTTCTGAAAGTTAATATTATACGACCTTTCTGGAGGTACGATGTGTTTTGAGCATACTGTCTATGTAGGTCTGCACCTTGTCAGGATATCCATAAACAACACGGGGACACCGCAGCACAGTGAAGCAGGCTGTCCTCCGCTGCTTCGCAGCTGGGCCTCAGGTGGGAGTCCAGTTCTGCCACAGCTTCCTGATCTTGTAATCAGGGGGAAATGTATTAACGTGGAGCATCCGTGTTTCTATTGGAACCACACTCGCGTGTCCATAGTCTTGACATCAGACGTTTATGGTGACTTTAACTCAGTTAAATGCTACATCTGTCAAAGTATTCCGCTAACATTTAACCACAATGAAAATCACGATCACTCTTTGCAAGGTAAAGTTTCTTTCACATCCATCATATAATGTAAAAATATATTTACTCTAAGATATTTGTGCTGACATGGCACAAATTGTTTAACTGGAACATAAAAAATGATGCAGGCCTAGCTCACCAACCGTTTCGCTTTGTCTGTGTGCATAAATAAGAGCCAATACTGCATACACAGACACACACTGCTTCTCTCTGACACTTCCCAGTTCCAAAACTGCTTGGATCCAGCCTGTAATGACGGGACATGGACAGTGTCCTGTTTGGTCTACACTAGAGGTGGGGAATCTGATCCTGTGGGTGCAGGTCTTTGGGATGACCTCTCAATCAGCCAATAGCAGTGGGTACCACAGACTTAAGTTGAGAACCACTGCTTTATTATTGGCTGATTGAGAGGCCATGCCAAAAACAGCGGCCCTCTATAATCACATCACAAGTGTCGCCACTCCATTATTCTGGTTATTAATATTACATTAGTTTGTTTTTATAGCAATAACCACTCTATTACAGTAAATACTTCCACCGCTATAAAATACTTCACAAACAGAAGAATTACCCACCTGATTGTGCAGACAACCTGCCGTGGGCACTTCAGGTTCCCTCGGGTTATTCGGAATGACCACGGCATGACTGTGTTTCGGGTGGCGGTCCGGTCCTGTGCTCACACAGGTGTAACTGACATCGTTCACTGCAGCGTGTGAACTGAAAGGTCCCCTTCCCCACAAAAACACGACCTGGACAAAGAAAAACAAATAAATAGTTTTAATTCTGTAAGGAACTAAACTGCAATTAGGCCTATAGCACCCATTTTTGTCTTTCTTATTTTTAGCTGGGTTGCTGCATTTTATAAGAGCGCAATCGCCTTTAGTAATAAACATTCCGATAGAGTCATTTTGAACCGTTTCAAAATTTTCTGCTTATAACACAGTTAAATGTTTTTGAATTGAAATAATAAGAACAGTCGCTGTAAACTGGGTGACTGTTTATGATGGAAAAATGTATTGGTAGTTTTTTATTTTTTTATATAATATTAGATCATATTTTCATTATATTTTTAATGCGGTTGCTGCAATAGCAAAGCCTGAAGGTATCGTCCTGCTATCAGCCCAAGGTACTGCGGTACGTCGTCCACACAAACATTCCAAACAGGGTCGCTGACCTGTCCAGAAACCCTGTTATAGGGTGTTTAGGGTCCAAGAAAAAAAAAATTCTGGTTCCTTCACATAACATTGCTTCTGAATTCAGATCAGATCTTCTGTGATCTTTTAATGAAAAACCGCATGATCTTGGAGAATTCAAAGTGAGTGCTCTCTTGGAGAAAAAGAAGATTAACTAATCCAGTACAGAATTTTTCTATACTTAAAAAACCAATTTAAGGTCTTACATAAGTAACACATTTCCCTATAATGATATCGTTAGCATTGCAACAGTTTCACAAATTTGTGTGATTTTGCAAGTGGATGGCACATTTGTATAGGGCTAGCGACAATGTAATTTATTAATATTCACTGCATTATTTGTGGACTTTTCATGGTAAAAGGCTCTGGCAGCCGGTCAGCAGAGCCTTGGCCCCCTCCAGGTGCGCGATTCTGAACATGCGGACTTATTAGCCCCATCAAACCGAGCCGTGGCTAATTAAAGTGTTATTTAAGGAGTCTTTGACAAGGCAGAGAGAAGGAGGAGGTGCAGGCAACGAGGTGCGGCTGCCCCTTTATGCCAGTGCAGAACTCCACAAAAACGTGACCGTGTCTTAGCACCCGGCTTGGAAACAAGCGTGCTCAAACATTACCACATTAGCATGCGTTCTGCTTCGGTGTATTTTGAAAGCAGCGGAGTACCTCAAAGTCCTCAGTAGGGAATGAACTAGGGTTCAAGCACTTCATTATGTTAATGTATTCACAGATGTTATTAGACAGTGCTGTTATTAGAAGCTTTTCTTATACTAATGGTGTGAATAAACGTCAAGGAGATGAGAATAGAGATAATCCATTTCCATAGCTGCTGATATTTACTTTTTGCTATGTTTTACAGTTTTTCAGAGATGGTTTCACTCAAATATGGACAGGTGCTAAAATGACCTTCCTTTACCTCTGGGTACCAATACACGTCCATTACTGCTTAAACCTTCTCTGTTTCTCTGAGGAAGCAACAAAGGGTCTCCTGGTGTTGTCTGGTGCAGGATGTGACCCATTTTCTTGTGATCCTACAACTCTATTTTCCAGTGGTGTCCTGGCAAATCATGGCCGCCCTGTACCAGTTACGGGCCAAGTAGCTCAGGGTGCCTGCCCACGTGTCCCTAGGAAAAATCTGAGCATCAAGAATGAATACAAATCTGACACATTTTGCGTTACAAACAGGGCTGCATGTAGGGCTGTGGCCAGGGTTTGAAGTATAGTTAGGTCTGGGACCTGGGGGTGGGGGGTAGGTCTCGTCAATCACATTATCGATACCATCCCCTGCCTTTTAAAGTAATTAGTTTTACGAAATGTTAACCTCGTGTTTTTATTCAGGTGAATATTTAACTTCAAAATTTATTTTTAGCTCTTAAAAAATTACCGAGGTTTGGACCTCAGTGACCTCATAGCTGGCTATGGCTCTGACTGCACAAAATATTGTTTCAGCATAGTCATTGTGATGTGCACATGCATGATAATCACATAACATTTGTCGCCACTCCATTGTGATGTGCACACGCACGATTATCACGTCATATTTGTCGGCACTCCATTGTGATGTGCACATGCACGATCATCACGTCACATTTGTCGCCACTCCATTGTGATGTGCACATGCTCGATCATCACATCACATTTGTAGCCACTCCATTGTGATGTGCACATGCTCGATCATCACGTCACATTTGTCCCCGATCCATTGTGATGTGCACATGCATGATCATCACGTCATGTTTGTCGTCACTCCAATATGTCTGTTGACACAACTCACTGCAACACCATCAGCTTATTTGACACGCTCTATTGGTAAGTAATACATTCTATTTAGCTATAGTTTGTTTATAGTAATTTTATCTCCTTTTTTGTTTTATAAATATTGCAATATTACCTGCAGAATGTGATACCATGCAGCCTTAATTATAAATATTATTAAAGAAGCATGCAGTTGCAGATGATTTAAGTCTATTTTTTGTTAAGCTCCTTTACAGGTGAGTCCAAAAGCCTGAACACACGTGTGTTCAAAGTGAAGAGAAGGATAATATAATTCTGTACAGCATAAAAAATGGGGTGGTGTGTAGCTCAGCAACTTATGACTCTGTGATGAGATGGTCCCCAGTTCAAATTCCAGACTCAGCACAATGATTTCACAGATGGTACCTTGACTAAAGCCCTTAAACCCCAAATGCTGCTGCTTTCTCTAAGAAAAGCACTTTGGATAGAAGTGCTAAATAAATAAATGAAGTAGTATCAGTCAATGGAAATGTTACGCAGCTTACAGTAAAAGGTAAATGAAGTGATACAATGAAGTATTACATATCAAAAATTGTGTGTTCAACATCTCAACGTTTTTTTTCAAATTTTAGACTGGAATTTTAAATAAGCGCTGGGCACCATGCCAAAACAAATTATCATGTTAAATTTTTTACATCGGACGACATTGATAATTATCATGATAGGCTATGGTTCAAGAATCATTATTTTTAATAATAATTCATTAGGTCTTTACTTTTAGGCTCCATTTATGCTCAAATTCTCCTAGGAAGAGAACATGAAAAAGATGACAAACTGAATGGACTGGAAACTTAATTCTAATTTTAATAAATAAATCATACATATATCAATAAATACAGTATATGGGCGTAACACTAGTACTATTCCGACAGTACTTGGCTTTTTTCTCTTTCTGCGTCGCTGCTCGTTACAGGGGGCGGGTTTGACATTGCTGGTGGAGTTGCCACCCACCTTGTATTGATAAATTAAAATGTCCCATTTTGAAAAAATACCGGACGCGAAGGAAAGGTGCATGTTCCTATTATCGACAGTCTGTGCTTTTTTTGCGCGGAGGCTGGGTAGTTATGGAATCAGAGGTATGGAGACAACAAAGTACTATTGAAAGTAATTCTGGAATGACGAAGGGTTTGGAGAATCGCTCGGGGACGTATCTCCTTCTTTATTTACGTCGTTCGTTATCGATCGTTTTCGGGATCGTTATCGATCGTTTTAAGTAGACCCGGGGGGTATTCCATGAAATTAGCTAAAAAAAAAGGCAGACTTTCCCGAAAAAGTCAGACTCAACCTACCTCCAACCTACTTTCACCTTCTGTGACGACTTCAACAAGGATACAAAGTCTGCAACAAATCTGTATAATAAATCATTAGTCAATGCCAGAGAGCCACATGAGTGAACATGAGAAATTAAAAGAAAATGTGTAATGAAAATAAAATGTAAATGACAAGTGGCTATTTTAGAATTCTTGCACACCTGTCTTAAAATGTAAGGGATACTGGAGCTTGGTTGGGGTGGTGGGATGGCTCGCGGTGGGTGCCGGAAAATTTCCCTTATTTTCAAATCCAAAACTTGACAGGTATGGATGAGGACATATAATTCAACAGATTACATGACATGAATAGTAAGATCACGGAATTTCGTCCGACGGAACGATCTTTTGGGAATCTGTTCCCACACGTCGGATGTTCTTTGAGACAACGCTAAACTAAGCGAGACAGTTAGCCTGCTCCGGACCAGGCTTGTTCGCAGGCGTAAATTACCATGGTAATTCAGCCTGGATTCATTTAAGACACGTTGATGGAACTGAACTCTCAGTAAAGTAAGACTGACGTCGAAATAAGTCAGACTTTCCCTTAAGCCTGCTTCATGGAATAACCCCCAGCTCAAGCGAAAAGCAAATAATGTGGCTGCAACTGAACACACAGAGCAAGTGTTAAGGAGCGGAAGTCGGCAGGAACGCAACACCGACCCAAAGCTGAGCAGGCTGGCTGCAGTTCAGCCCCCGTGGGCCCCCTGATTACCCGGGGGGTGACATTGTCGGGACCTCCGGCAGCCCAATCACTGCAGCTGATGGACACACGCTGCGCTTTGAGCGACAGCTGCTGTGTCACGACTCCGTCGCTGAGTTACAAAGCTTACTATTATTTTTTAAAACAAGTTTGTATTTAGAGACGAGTCAGAAATCGACGAAAACAGGCAGTTAAATACACTCTGTGCGCCTATTCTGCCGTTTTCTTGCGTTTATTTCTTGCGTTTATTTCTTGCCTCGTAACACAAGAAACGTGCAGTGAAATCAGTGTGCACATGTACTGCTTCGGCATTATCGTTCAGGCTACACTTTGAGCACGATGGCTGACGGATAAACCTGTAAAATGGATGTTTTCCCCATATTATATTTACAAAAGAGATAGATGCTTTTAAAAACAGAGTTAAAATAAATCTCCTTTAAATTCTGCTTAAGTAGCCTAAGTAGCTTTTTAACTAACAATATATTTCTGTTATCACAGCAAGGTCAGGTGCCGCATCATTCGTCATGATCGCCGACAAGCTGTGACACGCGGATCCTTCCCGAACCCCCCTTGCGGTCCCCTTCCCGAAACCCCCCTTGCGGTCCCCTTCGGAGATCCCCACCTGAACATTCAGCCCCCAGAAGTCTCACACATCTGTTGCGAACATCTTCTCTTCACTGATGCTCTAATGGTACCTGATGTTCAGTCAGAGTGCCCCCGTCCCGTGAAAGGCGCAACTACAGATGCCCTCCTCCCCCGTCAGAATCGATTAGAGGCGGCTCGCCATTGATGATTTGTTCAGTTCTGCCGTCGTCAGGCGAGCGGCCGCCGCTCTTATCGCGACCAGCAGGTGGCCCCGAGATCGGCGGCGCGTTTCAAACCCGGCCATAAATCACACCGGCGAGACAGAATATTAACAGCATCAAGAGGCGCGTCAAGAAGTACACATGATGCAAGGAACGTGGTTAGAAGTAACTTACTGAAAAAAAAAACTACTGATCCAATCAAGGTCCTTTTTAAATCCAGCATCAGAAGTCGAAAAATTTAAACTATATTCAACGTATTACCCACCTACCCAACCTTTTGAATCAGGTAGGTTTTATTAACGAGGTAACCTGTAGTTACAGAATAGTCACCACGGTAACCTACAACTCCAGCCTCCACCTGCGTCCCAACACATACTTGTGTGTGGTCACCGTATATTGCTGCAATAACTATTGTAAATGTACAGATTATTCATAAGCAGTTACTTATGATAATTCATTTCAATTCAATTTATATAGCACCTTTCACAATACAGTCGTCCCAAAGCGCTTTACATGGGTGTGTTGTGGTACATTAAACATCACTAGAGAGAGATACAGAACAGGGAAAAGGAAGGAAAGAAATTAAATAAGGAAAGCCAGAATACAACGGAGGAGAGGAACCAAAAACTCCCAAGTAAGGAGAAAGAAAACCTCTAAGGGTCCAATATCAACTGACTGCCCAACCCCTCTGGGCATACTAACATTACTGAAAACTTGTCGTAAGGGCTGGATCGGTAGGTAGCACTACTGTCTCACGCCCCCCAGGGTGGAAGCTTGAATCCTGTTTGGGGGCTTTTCACTGGGTCTCCCACAATCCAGAGGCAGGCAGAACTCGCACACACTCTCATTCTTCCACTGCCATCACAGATGCTGTACATACCCTCTATTTATACCCCTGTAAAGATGTACACTTTCTGTTTATTTATCTCATGTTTATATTGCACAGCTGTTCCTAGCACTTTCGCACTGTTCTGCACTTCTAGGTTAATCTAATACAGGCAGCTGATTAGAATCTCTAACTGCCCATAGTGTGTTGGTGCATGTGCCTTCGCACCTAGATAGTGGCCTGGCCTCCTGTCCAGGGGGGACCGCTGCCTTCTGGAAGATGGGGGGGTTGTTTGCTGTAAGGCTGCTTCTTACTCTGATGATGGGGCACCTGCTGATTCAGGGAAAGCCCAGCACCTGCCCACACAGCCCGGCTGATGAGAGAGCTGGCAGGAGGCCAGTCCTCCTTAAGTCCCCGTGTCATAAATGGTCCAGGCAGGTGGCACCTCTGATCATGTTGCCGTGGTGACATGATGGAGGTGGGCAGCCTCTCCGAACCGTCTTGGTGGTGGGGGGTCTAGATCACTCTGGGGGTCACAGCCGACCCGTCTGGCTCTATCTGGGCCGGGGGCATGGAAGGGGATGAGGCTCAGACACGTGAGTCTTTTCAGACTTCTTTGCATCTCCAGCCCGGACGGTGAAAGTTTCCTGCACCCAGGGCTCAGCCGCTGGACACGGAAGGGGTGATTTCAGCTGACAGGAATGCGTTGCGTGCAGCTCAAGGCAAACGAGAGGCTGTGGCACTTATACTTTCTCGATTGTGGGCTTGGTGCTTCAGAAAGTGATTAAAAAACTTTAGGTGATTATGAATTCAAAGGGGGCATTTGGGACAGAGAATGAGAACAGATCGGGTAGGGAACAAGTGGCTTCTTAAGCCTGCATTTATTGACTCATTGTAAATTTTGGTGTAACTTTTGACCCAAGCTGTGATGGACTGGCAGTTCGCCCAGGGTGAGCTCCTGCCTTTTGCCTTAAACTTCTTGGAACAGACGCTAGACTCCACCATTACTGGATAAGTGGGGAGGGATGGATGCACATTTAGACGTAAACAGGGAAACTTATGAAAATTCAAAAGGCCCCTAAGTGAGAGGAGCCCTAAAAATCTTAGAACATAACTGGATTTGTTTGGGTTGGGGGCCCAGTTTGATGCGCTCTCATGGGGCCCAAAATCTCTAGTAACGCCAATGGATTGATGGGTGGATTGTTGGATAGATGGACGGACAGATGGATGGATGGATGTACAGTGGTACCTCGGAACTCGAACTTAGTCCGTTCAGAACTCTGGATCGAATCCTAAAAAGTTCGAATTCTGATCGAATTTTTCCGATAAGAACCAATTAATTGGTTCCCGGCCAATTTTTTTTTACCATTTAAACACAAAATGAACCGGATAAAACAAGAAGAGCATATACCGTATTAAACACATCTAAGCACATTTATCAAAACAGTAATTTGTAAAGTAAGAAAATAAATGTATCCAAACAATGTGTAAAGTTAAAAAAAACAATGTGTCCTGCCTCGATCGTCCGCTCCTTCCGTGTGCCACGCCCCCTCGATAACCCCGTGTGGAATCCCTGTGTGATCAGATGTTTCTGGTTGTTTTCATTAGTCCTCTGTATTTCGTCTGCATTTCAGTTTGTTTCCCCATTGTATTGTCCGTCTGCGTTTTGCCTGCCTTATCTGTAATTAAACCCCGTATTCCCCAATACCCTGACGTCTGCGCCTTTGTCTCTGTTCCTTCCCTACTTGGCACGACGATATTATTATAATTAAATGTATTTTATATAATAATTACTGTTACTGTCTATCATTGTCTAAATGTATTTTTAGTCTAAATATATGTATTCAGCTAGTGTAAACATCCACGATGCTATCACAGCAAATGCGAGGCTGAGACTGAAGCATTACCCTTTGTTTCCGCTGAGAGACGTGCCGCGTGACTCATTTCCCCAGGCATACAAGTTATCTTAGGTCGGCGTTCACAGCTTGACTTCTGAGATTCAGATCGAGTTATAGGTATTTTTTTTTCGAACTGGTTGGTTCGACTTTTAAGAATTTTGAGTTTTAATGAGTTCAAGAACTGAGGTACTACTGTATTTTAATTATAGCTTCTTTTTCTTTTAATGGCCATCTGGATGCAGGACGTTTTGGTTTCCCTGACATTTTTATATAATTTACGGTGACACACAGATATATAACTGCATGTACACGTCTTTTAGTTACTTATATTTTTTAAAATTCTTCACATCCTTCACACTGGTGAAGCAGACACCATTGAAACACAGAAGAATGACATCGCCACGGTAAGAATGGAGTTCATCTTAAGTCTCAGTTCAGCTTGCCTTAGACATCACACTAAATTACTCCTTTCTCAAATAATTAAGGCTGCAATAAGTAGGATGAACACAGATGCTGCAGGACACAATTTCAATGGCCTTTTTAAACAAATAAGCAGATCTATTTTTATCCATGTATTAAATCCTCTAAAGTCTATCTCAAACATTTCCTGACATAATAGATGTGCTATAGAAAGGCTGACAAAACTGGGTCTTGTATCCAGGCCACCTAATCCTATATGGCATCCCCTAAATCTGTGGGGTGGCAATAAGCTTAATCAGTTTAAACATGTGCCTATCTTAAATAGCTAATAGGTTAATGTGCTTCGCTAGACACTCTACAAGGAAAATGCTTTATGCTTTTGATTAAGATGACCTGAACATAAAGAAAAAGAGAGGTTGTTTTACTCCATAAATGCTTCCCGGGGTGGTGTGTGACTCGGCTGGTTTGGGCACTGTGCCAGTGACCAGAAGGTCAGAGGTTTGAATCCCAGATAGAGTGGTTCCACTGATGAACCTTTGAGCAACCCCTCCCCAGTTGCTCCAGGGACTGTCTGACCCTGCCTTCTCAATTGTACATTGCCTTGGGAAAAGGATCTGATAAAAAAATGTAAAATGTCATGCTCTATTGAGGTAATTTTTTTACTCACCTTTCTAATGGGTTGGAGTCTTCCCCCGGTGCCTTACAGACTGAAAGTTCAATTGCTGGGGAAAAAAAGAAAAGAAAAAATAGGATTGATGGCAATTCACCAGGGCCCACAATCTTATTCAGAAAGGGCAGCTGTGTATGTGGGTATTCACTGCGACACCCTAATTAGTTTACTAATTAGAGGACTGATTGACTGAAGTGTCCTCACACCTGGGTTTGAACAGCTGACCTAAAGGTTATCCCAAAAACCTACATACACACCGGCCCTTTGCGGATAAGATTGCTTATCCCTGGAATAAACCCTGTTAAGGATGGTCATTAAACGATGCCCTTAATACATATAAATAAACAAGCAACAAAAAAATGGATGGTTTAATTCAGCACGGGATAGAGACAATGTTGGGGGCAAGTCTACATGATGGACGAAATCAGTCACCTGTATGCGGTGAATTCAGCACCAGGAACTGTCCCAAACGTTCTAAGTTGTTAACCTATACAGCCAGCAGCAGCGTAAAGGTCATGGAAAGCAGAGAGCAGAGTCCTCAGTGGGTCATTAGAACAATACAATACAGCAGCCCAGTGCATTGTTCTCAAAATTCAACCGAATGTCAGAGGAATATTTCTGCCTTTATAGAGGCCTTACCTCTAATCCCAAGTGATGCAACAAGCAGTTTACAGAACTGAATAGTAGTATAGTGATACTTTGTTCATTCACATGGGGAAATTACCTCTTCGCCTACCCCATCGTTCTATCCATGAGACACACAGACACATATACAAGTGAGAGCAAACTTGGGGGTCACAGCACAGGGGGTTAAGGGCTTTGATCAAGGGCCCACACATATGTGACTATTCGGTGGAGGCTGGGGCTTAAACTGGTAACCTTCCGATCAGGCATAGAGGCTTAGCCTGCCGAGTCTTTAATTTTTCTTTCCTTTTGGATGGATGAGATTTCTTAAAGGAGCTCGTTGCATTCATTGAGGGGCATCCATCTGTTCCAACTCCTGGCAAGAGTTCTGCTGTCACTCGTTGAAGTAATCGCTTAACCCATTGTTTCCCATTCCGGTCTGCGGGGGGCCCACAGTCAGTCCAGGTTTTTGTTCCCTCGGAGCTCCCTGAAGGAAAGTCCCCATTTCCATGAAAAACGAGGACTGTCTGTGGGTCCCCAAGGACCAGACTGAGAAAGACTGGCTTAACATGACTGTTATTGACAAGCATCTCTGAAACCCCATCCACACCATGATCTCGATGAAGTTGGTCATCAACGCCGGGTTCCTGAGCCAAAGCATGACCTGCAAGGCTTATACAGTAGGAACATGTCGTTATCCAAAGAGTAGGACGACACACCAGCATCGATCTTCTCCGTGAGGACTGGTAACAGAAAGGTCACAGCTGTGTCCCACTGGGAGAATGCCGTCACGGTAGTGTGCAGGTTGGGCTCTGACTCAAGAGCTTAGTGATGACGACCGGGGGGTTCGGCGTGTGGCTTAGGACTGGAAGTTCAGAGGTTGAAATCCCATGGATGGCAGAGTGATTTCATGACTGGGCTCTTCAGCAAGGGTTTTAACCCTCTGGAGTCTGTGGCCTGTCAGCCACTATTGAGGTAGAGAGAGAGATAGAGAGAGATAGATAGACACATAGATAGATAGAGAGATAGATAGATAGATAGATAGATAGATAGATAGATAGATAGATAGATAGATAGATAGATAGATAGATAGATGGATAGATGGATTGATGGATAGATGGATGGATGTGAGCTACAATTCAATGGAAACCTTAGGTGCCTCCCTACACAGCTGGACTGTCCTGGATGCCAGAAGGCAGAGGACCTACTAGCTGCTAAGGGAATAACAGGGACCAGAGGGAGAAAAAGACTTGCCAATCAGGGTGAGAGATGTTCCATATTTCAGGAGAGCTGAGAGTCATACTTTGGTCCTGTGCATCCTGATGAGCAGAAGGTGAGACCCCACTCTCCTTTCCTCTGGCTCCACAAAGTTACCGTGAATGTTTCAGTCACAGACATGTGGGAAGCACACAATCAACTCATTTATCAGCAAATCAAAATACAATCCAGGCTGACGTCAGACCCACAAAATATTAAGAAAAATATTATTTGAAATTAGCCCTCACCAGATTAGGTCCTTTCTGACTTCATCCTGACTCCACCATCAATTTATGCTGGAATTCCATTCTGCCTCTTCCTGAAGCATTTCTGGTTTGGATAAGAGCCATAGAGAAGATAAGGTGAGGAAACATGAGGAAACTCCCACCTAGAAACTGGCTTGTTGTCCTTTTGCTGTATTTAGCTTAATGTTCTGACTGAGGCTTTAGAAGAAAGATCTGGCTTAACTGCAGGATAAGGAGGACCATCTATTTCCATACCAAGTCCATTTGGCACAGTCCAGTTATCAAAATGGTTAACTTCTGTCAATTCCCTAGACCCCTCATACATCATTTGCTGGTTCTCCTCTCCAGAATCCTGACCATGTTGTCAGCACCGAGCTGGGAAGCTGTCATAGCAAACCGGGCAAGCTGTCTCACCGAGGACCCGAGTCAGACGACGACTCAGGAGTGTCATTTGCTGAGGGGCTGGAGGATGGGCCTGAAGTGGAGGGGCTGTGTCATTCAGAGCAAGATGGGGGAGAAATGGAGCACAGAACAGGCATCCGTGATTTAAGCAGCACGGCGAGGGGAGTGACCTAGCCAACAGGGGGGTCTGACCCACCAGATAACAGCTGCAGGTGAATCAATTCCATTAATCCTGCAGCAGTTAAAGGTCTGAGTTATGGAGTAGACAGCGACAGCACTAAACCTTTGTTGCTGTACTTCATACACGTCAACCGAAAATGGTGAGATGGATGATTTATAAAAACTCGTAGAATGTTGTCAAAACTGCAAGCCACTTAGTGGTTAGTGGTGTGTGGTGCTCTGATGCTCTGATATTATATGTAGAAAATAACTGATGTACTCAAATCCATTCGGACCCTCTGTAAGATGGAGAAACTGGGATGAGCTTCTTTGCAACCCTGTCCTGGCATCCTAGTGGAGTTGCTACTCCGTCCTTGTTGGTAGGATAAACAGAGGAATAAAAACCAGGCATCTCTGTCATGTTATTTTCCTGAAAATTGCAGTTTCCTAGTTTGTGTTGTACATTTTCATATTTTCACTTCTTAATGAATAATGAACGGGCTCAGTGTTCCTGTTCATGGGAATACTAGCCCAGAAGAATTTGAGAATGAATGAATAGGTTTTCTCCATGTCAGCACAAACCCCACCTGGTAGTACACTTCGATTTTACTGGGAGCTAAAAGCGTCTTGGGATGCTCAAGACATCCTTTGGGGTTTGCTGATGTTCCAGATAGTAACCAGATGTTCCATTTGTAATGTCTGTGAGAACCTCAGAGAAGCTGACTTCAGCCAACTCAGCACTGGTTGTTTTTCTTGTTTTGTATTTTGGTTCTGTAATTACATGGACATTTCATGTGCTCTTCATGTGCCCTTCAACTTAGTGTGCTGATGCCCAACTAATGGCCACAAATATATGAAGGCATTTTGTGCCGGAAAGAAAAATCTGAGAGATTAATTTTATTTTTAGCACAAATGGCCAAGAATAAAACCGAAGAGTGAAAAGCTAAAAACGATTTCCTGTCGTCCTGCTGCTGTAGTTCAATAATAATTGTTGGAAACACCGCCGTCGTGACCGCGTGTCTCTGAAAGGGGGTGGAGTGGACAGGAAATGGATGGGTTCGCCCCACGGGGTTTAGGAGGCCCGGCAATGAGAGCCAGAGGAGAAAACCTGTCCTCCTTTGTACTGTTTTACCTCAGAGACAATCATGTGTAGCGGCGGGAGCTTCGGACCACGCCGGCCAGTTCCCATGGCGCTGATTGTGGCTCTTCCGTGTTATTGCCAGTCGACCCCACAGAACGAACAAACAGGACCTTCTGGTTACCCCTGTCTTCACTAACAGGATCAGAGATGCACAATAATGGAAAAGGTGATTTAGCAAGTTAGTATGAACATTAGACATTATAAATGTTTATAAATAGTCCATACAGTCCCAGAATGACAAAATGCTTAAATTCATATAGGCTACGTACTTTTAAATGTATGCTAATTTTGGTTTTGTTATCTATAAACTATCAAAATTATAATGTTTTAAATTGAAATCATAAAAGTATCTTTATAATGATGCAGTAAGCTTTGGCCGTCATGCTGATTTATTTTGTAGTTGTTGAGAATGCTCTGGAAGGAGTGATAATCCAGCACCGTGACAACTCAGTTGGTATCTCCGCATGTCTACAAGTCACCCTCCGATGCCTGCAGACTGATCCAGTACAGGGTCGAGTTGAGGACGGAGCCAGTCCCAGGAAATATGAAACACAATGCAGTGCATAGTCCAAAAAACAACAGTACATGCCCAAGATGGCATACCAGTGCACTGTGGCAAGCTACACAAACCACAGTGGTGGGATTTCTACCCCCAGTCCTGGAGGTAAAGAGCAACAGTGCTACACACCACACCATCCAGCCCCAGGGGACCTCCAGAAATGTATAGGTCAGGTCCAGAGAGTAAAAATCCAAACCACAATTTTCTTTCAACCAACCAATTGAGTAATAAGAATCACTGTTACAGGGTACACAACTGGTTGGTTGAAACAAAATCTTGGTCTGGCCCTGAACCATCTGGACCATTCACCTCTAGAGGCCTCTATAAAAAAAACCAGGATGTGTCTTCAGTACTGAAACACTTGTAGCAGCCGACAACCTATTTAACAGTTTAACAGTGCGCACTTTAAGCAGCTCCAGCACTGACGGGGAATCCAGAAATGATCCTGCAGGTGTGCCAGAGTGTGCAGAGCTCCGCAGACACCCCGTAGCATGCTCTCCTTTACGTCTCTGTGTCTGCCGTCTGCTGCAGGCGTGCCAGAGTGTGCAGAGCTCCGCAGACACCCTGTAGCATGCTCTCCTTTAGGTCTCTGTGTCTGCCGTCTGCTGCAGGCGTGCCAGAGTGTGCAGAGCTCCGCAGACACCCTGTAGCATGCTCTCCTTTACGTTTCTGTGTCTGTTGTCTGCTGCAGGCCACGTCTGATTCCTCTCACTGGTTCTGACCCATGTAAAATAAAGGGAATCATATCACAACTACTACGGTTACTACGTATATGTGCCTATATACCTTCAACATACATTTCATTTTTTTAAATTATGATAAATATGACACAAAAGGAAGTTAAATGTCTGAAACGTTGGTAGCAAGGACAACTCAAAAGTGTTCTATTTAAAAATTAATTGATTGATTCAAAAACCATTTGTTTGATCCTGTGTGTCTCCCTGAATAGACTACATACCAGTAGATAAAGTATCGCCATAAGTATTCCTTTAAGAGTGGCATCCCATACAGGGTGTCCCCCAGCCTTGTGCCCTGTGACAACTGGAATGGACTCCAGGCCGCTGGGACTTCTGAATTCCCTATACACACATACACCCATATATATATAAACACACATTAAACACTTAGTTTAAATCCAAATGTATTTCGATATTCTATGCTATTTCAGTTAGTGTTCCCACACTGAAGGAGTTTGTGACTATGTTAACAATACTTAGAGGTGGCGTTAACTCGATGTCAGCGTGCTTATTGTCCGTCTAACGCAGTAACGTAACAATGAATTATGTCCGCCGCTAGAGGGCAACGTAAGCTCAGGTTTGTCCGACCTCTTTGGGAGTTAAGGTATCCCCTCCGTTTATTTAAACTTGTGGCTTGTGTTTTTAAAAGGCGGACACAAATCGGAAAGAGATCCATAATTACTGCCATGCCTTGGTATAAATAAACAGGAAATAGATACTTGCCACATTAACAGATTACGTGTACTACTTTACACAAATAATCTCACATAAATATTACAAATTTCAATGTTGAAAATTTCCTACAGTTTGTATTGCAAAGACATTAATCAGCCTTTAAATATATCAGTCTGCTTACCACTAAATGCTAAAACGTGTCAGAACGATGACCTGCATTCAGATACCAGCTTTTCATAACCCTACTGTTTATTTTAACTAAATGAAACACAACGGCTGATTGTAACACCACGTCTCCGAAAAGCAGCTGTCACTGTGACAATCACCGAAAGACAGCGCGGATTACAGAGCTTTCATAATAAAAGATATTGTAAATACTAAGTGGATCAGAACGAGCGCTTTGCTTTGCGCTTTTTGCGCGTTACTAATAGGCTATTATAATTAGATATTGTAACAATGATAAGAATATGATAATCACTTGGAAACGCTATGCACAGACTCTGTATTTCCAGAGGTGTTACTTAAGTCATTGTTGTTGGGTCCTGGGATGAAACACACACATACACACGCACACACACACATGCGATCGTCGCTTCTCCCATGCCGAGTAGGCGTCACCCCGGGACATCTGACTTCCTCACTTTGGCGGCTCAAGGGCAATCAAAATGTTTGGATGCATTTTCATATAGGCTTTCAGACGCACTTTCTAAGCCGCGTATGCAATAGAGCAGGACGCTAAATGCGTTTCCCCTCGGACTAAATAAAAGAAAACTGGGAGAAATCTGTGCAGAAGACGCCTGATTTGCGAAACAATATACTTAGACACATGTATAGGAAACCGGTGACAGAATATCAACATACGTCCTCGCTGGAAGAGACCCATTTTCCTATGTTCCCAAGAAAACGGGATTTAATAATTGCTGCTGCGTTTTAACAGATCTGCTACTCGATGTAGCTGAGAGAAAAGAGAACGTTTTTAATTATATTTTTTTTTGTCGGGAAAGTTTTCAGAATGAAGATTGAAGAAATAATACCTGGTCATGGCATTAACGTGGGTGTTCCATGTCTCCTAATGGACATTTAAAAATAAATTTAAATACGACGTTCACTCTGGATGCAACGCTGTAAAAACAGGAGTTTCACATGTAAGTGCGATATTTTCTTACGTCTGTAGCGCTGCGCTTGTGTTCTCTTTACAACTTCAATGCTGTTTAATTTATTGGTTTTTAAAGTTTTGTTACGTTAGTACTTTCGAAAACGTCATTTGGGCAACATCAACTGGAGTTTGATGGAAGACGTTTCTATTTATGGATTTAAATTTAAAACAGTTATAGGTTTTTGTGTGTGCGATTTTATAGAATCAAAGCGTACTGCCTTTAGGCATTTAATTCATCAATATTATAGACACTGGCTATAAAATATCAGATTAGCTTCATGATTCAGATTCAATTGAATTCTCTGCAGCAAGGAAGACTATTGATTACATAATATAGCCTATTTATAATGAGTAAATTGTAACTCCAAACTAAGTCAAGCTAATTCATATAGTTTTTAGATGCGCATTTTTACGCGCATGCCTACATATTATTTCATATTGTTGATATATTAATATATGTCGGGATATGAAGTGATTTAATTAATGATATTCATTTGGATAAGGGTCTCAAAATTGTAATTCAACCCTAGGCTGATGCCCCCCATACTACCCCCTCCTTATACGTATCGTGGAAATCACGGTGGTGGTCTACTTTCCGTAATTATGCTTAGTGTCGCGCTTTTCCGGATTACGTTTGCTACAAAAGTTTCATCATTTAAAACCTGATTTATGCTCGATTCGAACAGTCGTGTCGGTCCGCTTTGAAAACGCTGGTCTTTGCTCGGTGTAAAACATAATGAGACGATTTTAGTGTCGCATGCAAATATTGCCCCGGTATAAGTGTGATGCGGGAAAAACAGCTCACCTGGTTGCGTGAGCTAACGCGTGCGCGTGCATACTTGACTGCGTGCGGCAACTTCGGTTTTACATTAAATGCACGATATTTGTCCGTATTAATAGACATCCCAGAGTCAAATGCTCTGAAAACAAAAGCCACATCTGTTTAAATACTGAAATATAAAACGACAGTGTGTGCAATGCCGTGTAGTTTACATCACGTTGTGCTTAAACAAACAACAACAGGTGTCTTCTGACTGCATTGCATTTGGACATTAGAGTCCAGAAACGGTGTGCATAAGCTGACAGCAGGGTTAGGGACTGACTGCCCGAACAGCGAAAGCAGGGCAAACCCAGCGCGGAAGTAAAAAAACACCCCGTTTACAGAAATCTGCCTTTCAGTAGTTAAGGATCGCTGTCCTTTAGTCTAAGGTGCTGAAAGTTCGACGGTTGCTAGTAAAATTTTGTTCTGAGCACATTTTTAATCAAATTATGACCCGCGTTGTTAATGCAGCCTACTTCATATATTATCAAAATCAGGAAATCCTAGTGCATAAACCACGTTCATTAACAATAAGTACCCTAATAATTACTTGTAACAAAGATATGAATAACATAATGAAATTCAACAACAACCTTGATGACGACAACAACAACAACAATAATAATTATAATAATAATAATAATAATAATAATAATAATAATAATAATAGAAGTAGTAGTAGTAATGATGTTTGGAAGCTATTAAGTCAAATTATATCTCACCAGCAAATGAATATAAACGGATCCGTAAAACTCCAAATGAAACTTGGAATTGCAGTTATTAAGAAGTGAATCAGCGAATGTATTGCGCTGTAACCCAAATCCATCAATCCATCAGAGGTTACGCTGTTACGTTATGCATATCACTAGGGTCCGTTAAAAATAATGTTTCTAAAAAGACGTCTTGCACGACCCGGGGGATGGGGACTTGGCATAATAAGAGATTCGCGCCGACATGAAAAATGTGGAGTACAGGAGCAGATCGTGCACGCGGTTCTGCTCGGTGCGTTTTTGGTGTTGCTCGCGGGTGCGGGTCATCTGCTTGCATGTCTCGGCCACCAGTATGGAGTAAATATGTGACGTGTTACATATATTTCTTTAAATGGCCCTTTTAAATATGCTTTACCAAATGGTATGCCACATGTCACGGCTTGATTAAAGACCTGCGTTGGAATAAAACTGTCAAAACCTCAAGCTGGTGATGAAGTTATTTGTAAAGGATTTATAGCTCAGGACATAATTGCAATTCCTTAACACGAATTAACAAGTGCCTTTGATTAAAGCTAGTTTGTTCGCTGTTTAATGTTTACATAATAGCCATCTATGCAGCTGCATTCATTTAAAAATGTAATTAAAAGAAAATACATCACAGATAGCCTATAGCAAGTAGCCTACAGATCCACTTTGCAGTTTACTATACCTTGTAAACATAATTTTAAGAACTGTAAGAGTGTATTAAAGGTTTTGGTGGTTTGATTGACTTCATTAAAATAATAGAAACAAACAAAACATTTTCTTGGTTGTATTTATAGGCAGAACCATAATTGATGACCTTATATTTGGCAGCAGTGTAAGTTTGTTTAATAAAACTGTCATTGGAAGTGGCGTGTGTGTATAAATATGCATCCGCCCATTCATTTCTTGACTGATCATCCTGGTTAGGTGGGCGAGGGGATGGGGGGGGGGGAACTTATCCCAATTTAGAGACGCCAGTTATCTTAACTGCTTGTCTTTGGACTGCGGGAGGAAACCCGAGCACCGAAAGCGAACCTATACAACGGCGAAAGGCTTCGAGAGGACTTTCTCCCAATAGCGCAACAACAGGCACAGTACCACCCACTGAGCCATCGTAATATGCATTAGATATCCCCCCCCCCCGGAATATTTTTTCAACTCGACCTCTCAATATAGGTATATCCGTACACATATCCAGAAAAACAGATACGTGTGTGTCTCTGCGTGGGTAACGTGTGTACTCTGCTCTCTCTCTTTCTCTCTCGCTGTCTTTGTTACAATTCATTATATTTCATGATTTTATGTTTCATTATATATTCAAAAGATACATTTATCAGATTAATGTCTTTGCAATGTAAACTGAAGTTAATCTTTTGGCACTATGTAGATCAAGCCCACGCACTGAAGATTGCTTTGCCCGGATTTTCTTAGCAGGGATTTAGGACTGATTGGATTGCCCGTAATTCCGAGTAATAGTGCGAGAATCCACATCCTGGTTCTGTTTCGCAAAGGCGTGGGGCCAGCGCGATTTCGGCCCGACCGGCTGCCGCCTAGCTGAAGCAGGTCACGGGTGACGGGGAGGGATGACCTTGGACTTATTTGTTTGCTGCACATAGTACATCGGTGACACGCACTGGACGAGGCCACGCCTCCCCCGCTCCAGTCGCGTTTAAGCTCAGACCTTCTGGCTTCATCTCCACGCCGTGGCTCCGATCTGAAAGCCCATCCCTCGGTTAACGCGCCTCTCAGACGGATTTCCCTTGCAGTTAAAGGGGCACCTTTAATCCACTTTACATATTCTGTTATCCGCAAGTTTTTTTTATTTTATTTTTTTTGGGGGGGGGGCACCTTTAAAACGAATTATGTGTGACGGATCTTTTGCAAAGCAGGCATCTAAGGCACTTCCGATTTGTTCTTTTTTTAATGAGTGTGCAAATGGTTTGTCCTATTCAGGGTCGCGGTAGGTCTGGAGCCTATCACGGATGCTACCGGCACAAGGCAGGGAACAACCCAGGATGGGGCGCCAGCCCATCACAGGGCACACTCACACACCATTCACATCCAAGGGGAATTTGGTAACTCCAATTAACATCAGCACGTTTTAGGACTGTGGGGGAAACCGGAGTATCTGGAGGAAACCCAGGATGACACAGGGAGAACATGCAAGCACTACATACACAGAACCCTGGTGGAAACTCAAACCCTGTTCCCAGAGGTGTGAGGCAACAGTGCTAACCACTGCATGGTCATGCTGCGATGCGTGTGCAGCTGTGTGTAAGAATTCTTGAATATAATGCAAAAGCTTTTGACTTTTTTTCTGTGGATTAAGTATTTTGGATAGAAAGGTGTAGATCTATGTTGATGTCACAGCAGATGTGAAAATGTGTATACCTAGAGTCTTGTGTTTTGCTGTCAGATGTAGCCAGCAAAGTCTAGTTCATGAACAATTCTGAGCTTTTTTTCCTCTTCTAGGTTATCCGGGATGTAACCATATGTGTGCTTCCCCAAATTAAATAAAAATAATATGTAATAATAAAAGTACTACGTACACTGGAGTTCAGAAGTTTGGAATCACCCAGAATATTTCATGTTTTCTTAGTATTCTTCGCAGTCGAGGAACTGTAGTTAGATACCAAACGATAATACTTTTTACATGTATGCTTTTAAAAAGGAAACAAAGTGAAATGTTTGTCCTAGCAATCCTCTACTAGTTAATACTGTAATTATAATCATAATAATTTGGAGCCGTGCCAGTGATGCCGGTGTTCTTGTTCCAGGTGACACCTATATCTCTTCTTGCAGTCTCATGCCCATGCATTCCCAGGGCATTGCCCAAGTACAGGTAGCTATGATGAGCCCTTCTGCATCGGGACACTTAGCCCTATAATGATGGTGCAAATGGTTCATGGAGAATGAACCCTACGTCTATTTATTGGTCTTACTAAGAATAATTAATGTCAAAGGATTTGTTTCTGGTCTAACTTTAGTTTCTGGTTACGCTGGTTTCTTCATAAATCAGAGAAGCGTTCAAAACAATTGAAATGAGAAAATAATTGTTAGTATGTCATGTTGTATTGCATAAATGATAATAATAATTGATTTATTTATTGACGAGTGCTCCTGTCAGAATTGCAGGCTTGTACTCAGGGGTGAAATCAGAATGAGCGAGAAGGGGCAGGTCCTGTTGGGTACAGCATGTGTGCGGTGGCCCTGAATGAGCTGCTCTGCGTATTAGTTTATTAATTATGATGTTTTTTTATGATCACAATCTTAAAAATGCTATATATTAATTTGTCAGGATATTATGTTACAACTTTACAGCAATGCGAAACTAAAAATGTGATCAGAATGTTTTTATTTGATATGGTTATTGTACATATCGCTTGGTTAAACAATACTTGCATTTCTTTTCAAACGTAACGTGTACATGAAACT